CTCTGTGGTATGACAGATTTTCTGTGCCGTTGCATGCACACAATGGAATAACGGTGGTGGTACCTGTGGGAGACTCAGAATTTCTCCTCCTTCTGAGCTAACAGATGGAGGGGTGGGTTGAGGAGGTGGGGAGGGAGGAGCCTCACAGGTGGGCTGTTCCWGTCGCATCTGTTCTACCTGCTCCTTCAGCTCCTCCAAATGCTGTTCACACCGGAAGATCAGCCCTTCCAGCTCTCTGATGCACACCAACACAAACATGTAAACACATACAATAAAAATAACAAATAYATGTATTTATATCTTGGACATAAAGCTTACCGTCCATGGTCAAAGTGGCCGACGTCTTTTCCACTCAGCTGCATGAGTTTGTGCTCGTCCCTCGCAAATATGTAGCCCCTTTCTAAAGAGTTGAACCCTTCATTAAGCTGTGAGAGACCCTGAAGGACAGAATTAGTTCATGAGTTTAAAGTTATTMATCTAAATGATTACAGATTTAAACTGATTGTAGGTCTTACCTTCATCTGTTCAGAAGGTTTGAGCTTTTTTCTCTTCAGGAGATCCTCAAAGTTYTGCAGCTGAATGAAAAAACACAGAAACCCACATCTCTGATTATTTTCCTTAAACATCACATCATCTAGAAAATGTGTAAATTGTTATTTCTAATCCCTCKTTACAGCGTTAACGTCTTACTCACCTGCTGGAGGAAGCTGTCAGTCTGAGTGTAGAGAATCCTGGCCATCTGTTCTCCCACATCAGGGCCTGTTCATTCGACAGGTAAAGAAGAGTTATATGATGCAAGTTTCACAGAACGACACAACGTTAGCAGCAGCTGAATGATGGATGGAAGCCAGGTTGTTTGCAGGTTGATGAAAATGTTCAGAGACAGTATTTAATGATAGAACGATAAATCAGAAGAGCAGTGTGGGTAGGTGGATGCTGAATACAGAGAACATACTTGGAGGAGGGCGGTGTCCGTCTGGAGGAGGAGAACCTGAGTTGATCTCTGCTCTCTGAGCCTGAGGAAAGTCCAGGGTCGTGACCTTTGAGGAGTCGTGGCTCAGTCGTGACTGTGTGACTGAGTGGGGCGTTGGAGGGTCAGAGTACAGGTTCACCTGGTGGAACCGTGAAACATTAGAACTGGGGATTTCATGATATGAAATTTTGGTGCCACGATTATTGTCAGAGGAAATATCACGGTTTCACGATTATTGATACTACAGAACAACAAAGAATACAGGGCCAATATATAG